ACAGGTACCTCCTTACCTGCCCTGTGGAGCCAAGGTGAAACTTGGCCATACCTACCTTTTCCCATTGAAACACTCTGGATGGTTAATAGTATTATTGGCAATTGGTAGGTTTGTTTTCCTGTTTATAGAAGAACCTGTCTCTTTGTTATCTTTTGTATTACCTTTTTGCTAATTCAAAAGCTGAGGAATCCTTTCTCATTGTAGTTGTGCAGATCCTATATCACAAAATTAGAGATAAACACACAACAAGTGAGTCAGCAGGTGTCTGACACAGCTGAAGGTTTGCTGGTGCCCTGGTGTTTGGGATCCAAAGGGGAGGCAAAGAGATTGTGCAGAATGATGCAGTGTAGCAGTGTATTAGATTTTCAGTAGGAGAGCAGGCACTCCTCCCATGTGTTCCAGCTGTCAGTGAATGACACAGAGGTTTTGTGGTTGTGTTTTGGTGTGAGTCAGTAGAGAATGTTCTGTGGAGCAAGAAAGAAAAAGTGCTCCAGTGCAATCCACTGGAGCTTCCACTTCTGGAACGTTTCCATATTCTGGGCTCTGGGATTGCTAAATGCTTTCTTGTAATCCCTGTTGCAGCAATGATGTGGAGGAGGCCAAAAGAGATGAACAGCACATGTTGTTTATTCCAATATTCTTCAGTGGACTGTAGGATTCAGGTGTTTTGGAACTGGTATTTCTCTTAGATGACACCCAAGTCATGTTGTCTGTCTCTCACTCTCTAAAATAAATAAAATCCTAGGCTATGCCCAATTTATTGTTTGAAAACACCAGATGTATTCACCAAAAGTGCTTAGTTGAAGTTCACAACGTTTTTTGAAGCAGGACTAATTCCAATGGAAAGACTTAAAACTGAGTGATTTTCCCTGCTCCCTGATGGGGGTTTCTTTATGTTGCCTTAATTCAGGCATAAAAGGATGCTTGTTAATCTTGATATGGTGAGAGTTATTTATGTAAAGGTCCATCTGAGCATTGCTTTTGCCCAGGACTATACTTTTTGTGTCTTTCCCAGGCAATCTTTGTTGGGAGGTTAAGTCACTCCGAGGGTGTTGATATGTCTCTGCATACCCTTGAATTTTTAGCAACCTGAGAGCTGCCAAGTGTAAAGCAGCATTTTCTGTGGCACTGTACGAGCTTGAAAGCTAAGGGATAGTCAGACCTTAAATTAACAGTGTGGTCTTTGTAGGCACAGGGATACTTTAGTGCATGTCCTAATCTGCTGAAATATGTTCTAGCTTTATGGAAGTGGATTTGTTCATCCCTCAGAGTACAAACACATCCACACCCCGTTGAACCCACTAGAATGAAATGTGCCAGTGCTCTGGAACACTCAAACTTCTTGGGCTGCCTGTAGTGAGAGGCTGTGGTACAACATAAGCGATAGCACGGGGAGCGTGGAGGTTTTAGGGAAGCAGGAACCTTCAGAAGAGTGATGAGACTGGATCTCCATGGATAGCACATATCAAAGGACCACACACTTACTGTGGTAAGTAACCATTTACTCTGTTAGCCACCTTGGTCTCACTATGGATTTGCAAATAGTTTTTTCCACGCTGCCTTTCCTTTGCATGGAGCTTCTGCTGGTGGTTTTCCATCCTTAATCCTCATCCTTGTGATCTGCAAGTTGGATGCACTGACTTCTAGAGCCGAATCTATTCCCAGAGAAGCACAAGGGGACTCCCTGACCTACTCCCTGGGCCTCTTCCAGCAGCTGCAGGAGGTTGCTGTATAATAATCTAGAAAAGAAATGATGAGAGTACACTTCAAGTTAAAGGAAATGAAAAGCCTGGCTGTATTTTAAGTTATATATGAGAATGACTTAATGGTAATGAAAGAAGGCTGAAAACTAATGTCATTGTACATTATAAAATACTTTCTGGGACCAGCTGGAAATCTTTCAACAAACTAGTTTGAATTTAAGGACAGGGAGAAAACAGGAAAAAATATTTCAGTGCTTTGGATCTTTGTTTTTTAATTATATCCACACCATATATTTGAATTAATTAAACTTAGCTGATCAAGAAAAATTGGCTAAACCACTGCAACAACACGAAAAACCTTGTTGGATACATCTTATATTCACTGAAGCACCTCCTTGAAATCAGTGGCAGATTTTGAAGAGTGTGAAGTTGATTATACACATAATTGATAGAGGATGTTTAGATCTTGTTCTGAACAAGCCTAAAGTACTTGAAGTTCCATAGATGCAGATGGTTTAGTGTCTGAGCCTTAATCATTTCTGAGATAAATGAAGATGTTCTAAACACTGAGGGCAGGCCAGGTAGGGTTTTAATTAGTGTCAGAAATAGAGCCATCTGTGAGCAATAAAGTAAGCCAGGCTTCCAACTACCCTCACCTGTTTATCTCCAGTGAGCAAGTACTTTGTGGATACCATTCCTTTCCCAGACTGCTCCCAGGTAACTGTTCTCCAGTTATTATCATGTATATAAGAAAATAATCTATAGCTATGATTATTCATGCTCCTCCTCTGACTTTTATGCTTGTGTCTGTATAGCATGAACACGATAGATAACTTAAATATTTCCAAAAATGTTGCAGGAGGCAGGAAACCTTAGAAGTTAAGGAAGTTTGTCTTCTGTGTGTGAAAAAGCAAGATTAAGCAGTTGAGAATCACAAAACACCTTCAAAAAAGAGGTATTTCAGATAAGAATGTTTCAGAAGCAGGTAAGACAAAGAAGCTTAAGGAAAGTATGATAAATTTAAAAATCAGGTTTCCCATGGAAAACTGTTGAAAGCCATTTTTTAACCTAATTCTGTATTTTGTTCTATTGAGTAATAAAATGTCAAACAGGAATAACAAGGAGTATCTCCTGTTTCAAGACTGTTGATTGCAAATCGATTTCAAGGCGTCACAGTATAAATTCATTCCATCAGGCAGTTATGCAGAGTAATTTGTCAGCTCTAAAATTAAAGGAATATTTAATATTTATTTTTAGAGTAGTTTAAATAGGTGTTTAAATATCTCCTAGAAATTTGAAAGCTGAATGCTCAAAGCAATACAAGTGCCACACAGCACAGTTGTTAGAACACATTTTGAGTTGGAGAAAACAATCCAGTGCATTGTGTCTCTCTGCCATGATAAGGGCAATCAAGTGAGGAAATATTTCATAGCAATCCTTCACTGGGATTAAGGTAAATTATAAATATTCTGTAAGGCACTCTGTCCCAAAGCAGTTATAGCCTGGGAAATGAAGATGCATTGTTTATATCTATATATTGAAGTATATATATAGTAGATGTGCTTTTTGATGACATGTTTTGCTGCTTTTCCCAAATTACTCCCCATTTGGGTTATGTGTTAACAGATTTTTTTTGTTATATCATGGCTATCTTGGAACACTGAGAAGATCATATGGGACAGAAGCTGTATGGATCAGTTGAGAAAAGAGATGTGGAATGAAAGAAGCCAAAGACTGAGAGAAACAGGTGGAAATTTTAGGAACAAAATTGCAGGAAAAATACTCTGATTTTTCACTGTTCTTGTAGGGCAGATTCTCAATCCTGGGGATTGGGACTGTGAAAGTCACAAAGCAATACCTTCCTCTAAAATTTTAGGGTAAGTGGATATCAGTCCTTTTTGGCTATTGTCAGCAAGATGCTTTTTTTATCACTAGAATTTGGTTTTCTGTGATTGTGAACTGCAGGCAGTGAAGACTGAGTGTGTCTGTGAGTGAGCTGTGTAACTTTCCATGTATTACAGCTACAAGTACTTTTTTCATTTTGTCATTAATCACAAGGTTAAAAATGTCTATTATAACTTTCCTACATACCATTTGTGATCTATTATTGCATAACTATAAATGTAATAATATATTTATCTTATACGTATCCTTCAAGTATACACATTTAATTTTTTCTGAATCCTCAGTGTTAGATGCTGTCTTATATTTTAGTCTCAATGATTTTAACTAATGATTATGAACCAGTTTGGTCTGTCCCAACTCAAACATTGCAGCCAGATGAATTATTTTAATTCAGTTGGGTATTTACAAAGCCCAGAGTGCATTAAGGCAAAGCACTGTGAGTACTCCAGCAGGGAATACCCTTTTATGGAGGTAATCATTAGGAAATCACTTATGCACAGTTATGTACTTAAATTAGAATGAGTTATTTTCACATAATTTGATAATGGGATCGATTCCATTTTAGGATTTAATCCATTAGTAGCTGAACTCTCCCATCTCTGAAGAATGATCTGGTTTAACGTGTCTGAGGGAAGCAACAGACCAAGTCCTTGTGACTTCCTGTGATGTTGTGCCAGTTATAAATATTAACTATAACAATTACTTATTATAAGTTACAATAAATATAAATAGTATTAAAAACATAAGCCAATTAGATTTACAGTAATTTAGTATAAAATCTGTGGCAATTGGAGAACTGCATCCTTGTTGGAACATCAGAGGGATGACCTTTACTCAGGGTTTTCTCAAGCAAAGGCTACTGAAAGAGCAGGGATGGCAGCAAAGCATTGATTCCTTTCCCAGGCACGTAAGGCACACACTGGAAGGAAGCAGGAATTGTAGGGGGTTGGCAGGAGAAGCCTTTTTAACAGCCTTTCTGACTGTTGTTGTGCCCTGAGCAGCACAAAAGAACATCTGACTTGCAGCAGGCAGGGGCAGTGGATGTGTGTGGGAGCAGGGACTGAGTAAGTGGTTTCCCCGCCGGGTGAAGTGGAGTGTGTTCTCTCTGCAGTGAGCAACTTGGGCTTGTCCCATGTTTGCTTTGTTTTGGAGCACAGAAAAAAGCCAAATCCCAGGTGGTTATTTTTTACTGAAGTACAGCCCCGGTGACTCCAGTGACACACCTGCCTGAGAATTTGGGGTGCTGGGGCTTTAAAGCCTCAGCAGAGCCAGTGGATTTTTGGAGAGAGCTGTGGAGGTGTGTGCTCTGAGCTGGGCCAGCCCAGCCCCGGGGCAGCAGCTTCAGTGGCTTCCTGTCTGCAGCCAGAGCTGTGCTGGAGCAGTCAGCTCTGTTCCTGTCACTGCATCCCACAGCCAGAGCTGTGCTGGAGCAGTCAGCTCTGTTCCTGTCACTGCATCCCACAGCCAGAGCTGTGCTGGAGCAGTCAGCTCTGTTCCTGTCACTGCATCCCACAGCCAGAGCTGTGCTGGAGCAGTCAGCTCTGTTCCTGTCACTGCATCCCACAGCCAGAGCAGGGAGCAGAAGCCCAAGGCCACCTTTGGCAGGAAATGGCCCAGGTCTCTCCCAGTGTTTGTTGCTGGCCATCCATGCATCAGGGTGTTTCTGCTGGGATTCCACATGTCCTTACAGGGCAGGAACAACTCTCTTCTCTTGTGCCACTTCAAGCTTTTTAAGGACTGCTATTTGCCTCTTCTGAAACAAGTCCTATTAAGCCTCCCTGGGCTGTAAAATGGCCTGGAAGGATTGGGAAGTTGGAACATTTGCTGTCATCAGTCCCATCAGAGCCCAGCATTGCTAACAGATGAGCTTTGGTGCCACTGCTGAGTCATTCTCCTGGTTTCCACAGCTGACACTTCCTTGCTTTGAGTCTAGGCTAAAAGTGGACAGAATGAACTATTAGCTTTAGCTGAGCTTATTAGCCTGTCATTAGCTGTGTTTAAAACAACTGCTTTAAATTTTACTAAACACATTATGTGTGTATGTGTGTTGTTAATTCTGCCATAAAGATTATGCTGAATCCTGGGATTGAGAACTGATTAAGAGCCACTAATGGGTAAGGTATAATGAATTATTCATCCTGTTATCCTAGAGCAATCACAATAATGTCTTGGTGCTAATTAGCAGGTGGATGGGCTGACACAAAGTCAGGAATACCCAGGAGATATTTTATCCAACATGTATTCTGATTCCTGTTGATAAATCTCTTTCCTGCTCTTACAATTTATTTCTTATTCAATAAAAACAAGTCTTATTTTGGGATCTTTTCTTCCTGCTATTTCAATGTCAATTTTTTTAAGATCATATAATTTTTTAGGTTTAAAGTAGTCTAAGAGCAGAAGGTTTTGACAGCTTTTGGGACAGCTGTCTGCAAAGTTTTACTGTTACACCTCACTATATTACTTTGTCCGTACTGGCTGAGCTGCATATTACCATTTCTTCTATTACATGTGAGCTTAATTGTCTTGCAGCAATCAGAGCAGAATTTGTCTTATTTTTAATGAACACAGAACACCTGTATGTGCAGTTGTAAAGCGTGGCACTTACTGTGGTAATGAATTAGATATTCGTACATATTATTCTTTATTAATTAAGGCAACACAGTTTGAAACAGCTAATAGATTTTTTTTTTTACATGGCCATTAGTCATTACTCTATTTTCTCCCCTTTTCTCTTTTAAGTCAAGTCTCAGCATTTCATTTTGTTTTACTTATACTGGAATATATCACTGTTCATCAGAGGGATTTATCAGGAGTCAAACATTATCAATTCACCTTGTATTTTGCCACTGTTTGTTAAAGATTCCTACATTTTGAAGTAAGGCTGCAGCCTGAAAAGTCTCTTAATGCAGATGTTTCAGTCTCTCAGCTCAGCTTGAAAAAAAAAAAATCAACCCACAAACCAAAACCATCCCCAGCACCTATTTCCCACTTGTTTTCTTTTCTAGCAGTTGTTTTTCTTCATTTTGTGCTGACCCTGCTAACACTTCCTTCTGCTCTCCCTGCAGCAATACCTTTTGGTAGCTCAGTGAAGATGTAACTGCTGCGTGGGTGGGACCTGTGGATTGTCTGAGAATGCCCAGCTGAGCCTGGTTTTGTGTGAGATGTGCACAGTGAGCTGCTCTGGGGATATCTTCTGATTTAGGGGAGAGTATGAGGAGGACTGGAGAGTAACTCTGGGGGTCCGATGCTGCCCTTGCTTTCTCTCTCTGGGGTTTGTGTTTCTGCTCAACAGCGTGAGAGATTTTTTCCTCCCTTTCCTCTCCTCCTCCTCCCCTTTTCCTGTTTCTCTCCCTCGGCCACCACATCCTTCCTAAAGCTGCTTATCTCTGAGATTTTTCTTCTCTCTCTCTCAGTTCTCTCTCTTCTGTGTGTAATTAAGCACCTGGAACATTTCCAGCCTGATGACTGCAGGGTTTTGCAATGAAAGCCCTTGGAGATGTACTGAGTGGGCTGCTCTGAAGGAGTCAGACTTTATGAGCCCTAATGCCTGCCTTTGTAGAGATTTGCAAAGTGCTTGGCATATTAAATGCATTGTTGGTCTCTGAGTAACAGCAACAATGTGCAGGAGGTCTCGTGGTACAAAAATGTTTCCTTGTGACAAAGTCCTTCATATAGAAAACTGCTCTTTTCCTTAGTGCTCAGCTGTTCACACAGGAGTCACTGCTCCAGTGACTCCTGAGATCCTGCTTTCTGTGGGTCAGCCTGACACCAACGTGGCATTTACAGCCATGCTTAAATCCAACAGCTTCCTAAACCTCACATTATTTGAAGTTTGGGTCTGATCAGCTGAGGTTCATCTTCCCTTCAGTGTAAAAACTGAATCACTTTTGGTTGAAGAAGTCGCAGCTACAACCTCCCATTGCTGAATTCAGTGTTACAATCACTACATCTGGTTCTACATTAACTCCTTCTGAAATGAGTGGTGGAGGTCAAATATTGGGCTAATTAAACTAAATTAAGGCTTTGCTTAAGAGACACAATGTGAAGATGCCTTGCTGGATAGGAAAGTACTGTGTGATAGACTTGGAAGCCTCCTCCAGAACATGGCCCCAGGCTTTCAGGCTGTCCTCAGAGGGCACTGCTTTCTGTGCCTTTATCTTGCACTCAGTGGGTATCAATAACTCCAGCATTTCCTTGCCAAGAAGCTTTCTCCCAGGGGTTTTATAGCCATTTAACATAAAGCTGGTAGTAACATTGTCTGCTGGCTGAGACTGTCCAGAATTAAACAAGATTGAATGCAGAAAGGATATTTATCTTCAGCAAACTCAAACATTTGAGAGTATAATAGAATTGGAAGAAGATCTAGAAAATTAAAAAGAAGGGACATTCTTCCACTTTGATGAGGTGCTGAAGGAGCTTTCAGTCAAAGGAAAACCCATTTTCATTTGTCAGCTGGCCAGGTTATTGTTATCATGTCTTCAAGTTCAAAGAACAGAAGGAAGAGGGCAAAGGAATCTTCTCCAGCCCTGTAAGGCATGGCAGTGACACCTGGTTCTTGGCATTGCTGTGACAGAGCCCTGGGTAATCAGTCAGAGAAGGGAAATATATTAGAAAATGTACCTTGTGTTAGAAAAAGTACCCATATGTTCTGTATAGAGTGATTTCCCTTGGTGTCTCTCTGGAGATTTCTGGAAGTTTCTCCTGGATTGTCCAAAGTCCCTCCACTAAATCAGCGCTTGAGCCACGCTCAAACTTCCTGTGACCATGCTGTGCTTCAGCATCTCTGACCTAAATAACATATTATAGATAATAGAATTAAGATTTTTTTTTTAAACCAGTAATAGTTTAAATTACTTCAGATTTTTCTTTTTCCATCTGTCCACCCATTCCTTTCCCTTGCATCTATTCTTCTCATAAAACTCATATTTTTCCCTCCATTATCTTTCATCCTGCTCTTCCCTGAGCCCTCTTTTGTCCTTTCTGACCTATCTTCCCACTTAAAATACTTTCTTCCTGGCCTCATGGAGCATTGCCATGGTGACCACATGACGTCATTGCACTGGGAACAGTTGCCTAGGAAACCATATGATGTCATTACACTGGAGACAGTTGCCATGGTTACTGAGTTGGCTGAGGGAACTGGGAAAAAGAGTTTGTCATCTGACCAGTGCCAGGAAATGTTCCCATTAATGGCAATAAAGGAGAGACCTTTATTTATATTTATGTTTTTATGTTCCAGGGAGGGCTGCCTGTGACTCAAAGACCCCATTGGTTTTTCTGGGATAATGTGCTGTGGCTGGGCTTTTGCCTCTGGGCTGTGGGATCTTGCTCACCTGTTTCTGCTGTTCAGTGTTACTGTGAACATCAAGCCACAAGGAAATGGAGAAAAGCTGTGTTGTCCTGTGGTTCTGTGTCAGATGGGATTGCAACTTCTGTTGCTGTTTGATCTGTCCTGTTTGGTTCCTTTGGTTTCTGAGATAAATAGCCCAGCCCAGTATTTATCCCAGCAGATGTACAGTAACAGGGAATGTCATAGCTGAGCTTGCTTCTTCTGCACCAGGCTCTATGTGAGTCTGTAATTTGTTTTCCACTTCTTTCCTGCCTTTCCCAATTTCTGTTTCATCATTGCTGACACGTACCTGTCTTGTTTTAATAATTCCAGGAGTTCCCAGAAATGTCCTACATGAAAGGTGAAGCAGAGGTTAAATAAAAAGTTGGAGGCAGCTGCTAAAGACAAGTAAGGTACACAAGAACAAGTTTAGTGAGTGTGTACAACGTGTAAACTCTGTGATTCATGTGAGGATGTGGGAATGTAAACAGTGGTTAGCACTGTGTGTGATGGGCAGATCTGTAGCTCTGATAGATTTTCTGTGTTTATATGACATACATATAATTGCTTTATGGATAAATAAATAAGCTTTTATGAAAATGGCTTTTCCAGACTTCTGCAATTTGAGTGAATTACATGTCTAAGGCATATTGGTCAAATTCTATGTGTGACTGTCTCCACATATCAAATAAAGTCTCTGTTCTCAGTGCCCTGCAGATGCTCTGGAGTTCACGAGACACCAGTTACAGACTTCCCACTGAAGTTCATGAAATGAACCCTTCTCTGCTCCCCCTGGGTCCTGTCCTCCTCAAGCTGAAAATCAAAATCCAGAATAAAACTCGTGCAGTTCCTATGGAGCTGCAAACAAAGATGCAGTCAGAGAAACTACACGGAGTGGTGGTGGCAGGCCAGGTAACTGAGGAGTTTTGGAGTGCCTGAACTATTGACTGAAATCCAGGGCTCCTGAAATGCTGGGAGAAGGCTGGAATGGGAGTGGCATCTCAGTTTTGGCAGAACTAGGAGAAAAGTCTGTAAGAGAATGTAACTTCATTGGGCAGGGAACAGAATTTCCACTTAGGTATGGGGGGTAACAAAGGGACAAGGGTTGGGAGTTTTGATGTTTGAAGTCATAAAATCCTTCTATTAGAATTTTATTTCGGTTTCCCCTCCTCATGCTTTACAAATACTATTTGATTGGCTATTTATTCAGTGTACTGCACAAAGCAATCTCAGCCCCTGTACCAGAGTAACTGTAAAAGAACATTGTCCTTCATGTCTGAAGTAATTTAATTTCCTTCTGATCAGATGGCAAGGAACAGAACAGCTCTTGGAGGTGGAAAGCAGCAGCCAGTGAGCGTTGGGAGCTCCCAGCAGTCAGGTGAGACCTGTCAACTGGGCTGTGTTTCAGACCTGTGTGTGAGTTCTTAAATTCTAGTTTAATTACAGTGTTTAGTTAATCAACATGCAATGGAGGGCTTTGCAAATCAGGCTGTTCTGGTCATGGTGACTTGCATCCCTGTAAAATATGTGTCAGTAGCCATGGCTTTTCCTGGGCTTTAATGGACTGGAACAGCCTTGGAATTACTTGTCTGGGATACTGTTGAGTTCATGATTAAAGGGATATCTAATCCTACTTAATAGCCACTTGTGTTACTTTTCCTGTTAACTGAGCTTCAGAGTGACTCCTGAACTTGGGTTTGTTTGATTTCAGCACTGTACCTGGAACTTAAGGTTATTGCATTTAAGTACATTTTAAACATTCACGTTTGGATCACATTTATTGGTAAAAGATGGGAAAGAAAGCAAGAAGCTGGGCTGTGTTTAGCTGTCAGGGAGGTGTGGGAAAAGGTTGTTAGAGCTGATGGAGTTTTGGTAAATTTTACTTGAACTTCACATGTTCGTGATTTGTATTTGAGGCAGCTTTCCCTGCCTCTGATCTCTCACCCACATCAGGTTTCTGTAGATACTTAAATAATAATTATATGCTGTGCCAGGGCAATACTGGAGATCTCACACTGGTACAGGATTATAGACTTGTTTTCCAGCAGTGTCAGCCCCTTGGGGTCGGTGCACGGAGAAGTTCTGTGAGCAGTAGAGGAGGCAGCTCCTGTGCTGGGAGCTGGGGGAGCTCTGCTTTTGCTGAGTGGTGCTTCCATCTGCTGGAGAACTTTGTTCACACAGTGTTCAGCCTTTACTGTACTGGGAGAGACAAAAAAATCCTGTTAATTAACCCCCAAAGATTTAGTGAGCATTAATTACTCTGACAGAAACAATTCCTCTGTGATATTAAGTAGCTAACAGAAAATGCTTTCACATGCTCTGTAGCTTTGCATTTGAAAGATGTCACTCTCTGCCTACCTGGAATCAATACTCTTATGTTTTATTCTAAAATATAGTATCTCACACAGTAGTAATATAAATTAAAGTACAGATTCTACGAACACCTTCCTAGTGGGCTGTTCTGTGACTCGTGACCCACACTAGTGCTCTCAGGAAGAGCCTGCAGAGGCTGGAGAACTTGGTGGTCAAACAGGAAGGGGGCAGGTGTCCGTTGGCACAGGGTGTATTTTATTAGTGGGACTGGAAAGTTCCCTCAGTGTTCCTGACACGGCCACGGTCCATCAGGATCTGCACTCCTGGAGTGGATTTTTGAGTTTTGAAATTCACTTGTTTGCAGCAAACTTGAGAATTCTGGAACAAACCTGTGTGTAGAGACACGTAGCCGAGCCCAGCTAGCAGAGTACTTCCCAGCCCACCTTTCTCTCTTTAATGAGCAATTGTCTCATTCTTTCCTGCAAATCCAATAATTTCTTGACATGACACCATAAAATGGTTGCTCTATCCTTGTATTATTTTTTGTTCTTATTAGGTTTTGTAGGAAAACCGTAGAAATAAAAAAACCCCACCCAAACCATAAAATTTACAGAGAATAAATAGGATTTGTTCTGTGCTACTGTTATTTATGACAGTGTTGTTAAAAGTAATAATATCAGAGCACCTTTGGACTTGATACAGTGGCATTACAAATAAATAAAACATGCTTATAACATATAAATTTTAAATTTGAATATGAAGTAAATTTTGAAGTATATATGAAAGTTATAAGCTTACATATAAGACTAGAGGTACTAAAAGAATAATTTTAGAGGAATTCATACAAACTATGTGGATTTTTTAAAATAACATAGTCCCATATGAAGACAACATAATGAGCTATATTTATTTATTTAAATACATGAATTCAGTAAAGGACAAAAAGGACAAAGTCAGAACACCTTGCCCTGCCCACCTGCAGTCTCTGCAGCCCTGTGGCCTTTGGGAATCATTATTTCACTGTGATAAGTGTCTTCTATTGTGCCTGACATGGCCTTCAAAACCAACTGCTAGAACACATCAGCTCCAGCTTGTGGAAATTGCCTGGGCTTGGCAGGGCAGGTGCTTGGGTTTTGGACTTCACTGTGCAGGATCCACCCCAAGTGCCCTTTGGTTTAAGGCAGGGAGCTGGAACAATGTCCAAACACCAGCAGGGATGGATTTTAGGGGCTTAGTGTTTTTAAAATGATGAGAGTAGTAGGAAATACAGATTTGCATTTGTTCTTCTACTGCCAAGGAAAAATAGTTCAGGGTGTCTTTCACTGATGACACTTTGTGTTTTGTTGGTAAGTTGAACCCCTGTGTGGGTGGTTATGTGCTTTTCTGAAAATAAACAGCTCAGTACTTCTAGGCAGCATATATTGTGCTCTGGGTGTTGAGAATGTGGGAAAGGAATCCGGGAATGGTGGGAACACTATGGCCTGTGTCCAAAATCCATAGTTAGTGTAGACCAGTAACTCATGTTTTCCTTAGCAGCCATCAGCAGCTATCTTTGGGTGCATGTGCAGTTTAAGAAGTCATGTAGAGCCTAGAGGGAAAACCTTGGGCAGTTATTGCTGTCCTTGTGTTGTTACTTCATTGGCAGGAGCAGCAAGATCTGAAGCTGTAATTTAATAAAGAGGATTTTCTCGAAGTTTAAAAACCCCAGGCTGTCATTGTTATATAGGCAAATAAAGGCAGAAGAAGTGCCTTTCCTGGGATGCCCCTGCAGGAGCACATTCCAGTGCTGATGTGGGTTCTTTCATCCCCGGAGTGGTTTGGCCCTCAGGATCTTTATGGCTCACGTACCTGAGCAGGCTGGATCTCACACCTGCGAGTTGTGCACCAGGGACTTTAATTGCTTTTTGCTACCTTTGAACTGAGGTGGAGCTACTTACTGCCCTTGTTAATGGACCTGCTCTTGCTGCTTCAAAATGTTTTCTCAGAAAGTTATTAATAATTTAGTATTTAGCTAATTGACAATACTTAATTTTCATTAGGAATCTACTTAAAGTGGCCTTAATTGCCTCTTATGTGATGTAACTTTGGACAGAGCCAAATCCCAGGGAAATTATGTTTTCTTACATCTTTCACTTATGATTGTAGACACAGAGGTGTTGGGTTGTTATGTTGATAAATGTGATTCAAATCATAAACTGACATAAAATTTCAGAACTAGTTTCCCAGCAGGTGAAGAGAATGAATACAAAATGGTTGAACCACAGTTGTCTGTGATCAGATTCACAAGAACTGACAACAAATTTTTCATTGGATAAAGTAATAGGCTAAAAATGTTTTCCCCTGAAAAACATACTTGTACCATGTTAAGCACAGTAATGCTCCTTAAATTTGGAGGTAATGTTGTTTATTTTAAAGGAAGAAAAGTGTCTGTGTGTGTACAGGAGGAGGGGTGAGTATTGATTGGAGCAGTTGAGTCATGGCAATCGATTTACTTCTGAGTTCCTGGAGAATGACCCTGCAGCTGGTGGTTCGTGACTGCCTCACCCCTTGTGTCACTGACAGGGCAAAGAGCTGTTCTGGGCTGAAGCAGAAACTTGCTGTGCCTTGGAAGCTTTGTTAAACTGGGAATGATGATTTATTTCCAATGGTTGAATGATGCAGTGATGGCAACACTCACTGGTGAGACTGTGGCTGATGTCCCAGTTTACAAGCTTTATGGAAGTTGCCTCCTCCACACTTTTGTGATCACAGAATATCCCGAGCTGGAAGGGACCCACAAGGATCGTCAAGTCCAACTGCTGGCCCTGCACAGGACAACACGCCGGAAATCCCAGCATGTGCCTGAGAGTGTTTTCCAAGCATTCCTTGAGCTCTGGCAGGTTGGTGATGCTCTGTTGTACGGTGTTGGTTTTCAATATCATTCCATTACATCTTGGGAAGTAGCAAACAGGGGCATTTCATTTTAGCATTCTTGATGTTCAGTGATGCCCAGCTTGGTGCAATAGAAGTCAGGGAGTCCTGATTGCACTGACTGAGCCTGATGTGATGAGAGGACAGGAAACAAAAGAGGGTTCTCTGCTTACACAAGCTTGCCTGATGTATGAGTTTTGCTGTCTTCTTTTCTTCCCTGTGCCACCTGTAGTGGTTCAATGCACACCTTATCTCTTAATAGCAGTTCTGTTCAATCTGATTTGTAGACATGTCTCTCATACTAATTGTTCCATTGTATGCTTTGGTGCTACTTCCACCTTCTTTCTTCCTCTCTGTCAATTAGATCCTGTTTCCACATGTTTAATAATCCTTTCATTGTGTCTGTTGGTTCAGATGGAACAATGGAGCACTCCTTTTCTAGGTTTGGAATTTTTTCTTTTTGATGGTTCTGATTGCTTTAGATAAACAGACCAAACAGGTGAAGGCTGATAACAATGGGAAGAGATGAGTTTCTGGAACATAAATCAAAACCCTAAAGACAAACGTGGAGGGGAAAGAAAGGATCTGTGCTATCTCCTCTGAGGAACATTTCAGGACTGTCAGTGAGCTGTGTTCAGCAGGACCCAGAGAACCTCTGCAGTTTTATAGCACAAAAAACAACTTCATTTTTATTTTCATGCCTCTCCATGTCGTGCCAGCGGATGTCTTTAGAACTGCATTAGGGTTTCTCTGCTCATGTTGTAGATTTTGGAGCCCTGCAAATTCCATCTGCTTGCTTTCCATAGAAGCTCTAGAGGCGGCACTGGTAGGATAAGCCTGACTCTCACCACGCAGCAGCTCATTAACACCCTTCTGTTCCTGTCCTCCCCCTGACTCATGGGGGAACTCAGAAGCCCAGGAGTCTGTCTAAGCTGGCTGTTAAGTCAGGCTTAACTTCACCTTAGTTAATGGGATGTGGTTATTATGTGTGAGGCTGGCAGGGGAGATGCAGAAGCTACTTCTAACTCTGCAGAGCTCTCTTTCCTGATATTTTTGGTCCCGATGCCAATGGTTGTCAGCCTCCCTTAACTCTGAGGACTGCATGGATGAGTGTCAGTAGATGTTTTCAGGTGCTTATGGATCACGTGGTTGTACTCTTTACTACTTGCATCAGAGTGTAAGGATATAAACAAGTTAATTACCTGGCACCTTGTGTTAGAGGTTCAGTGTTCCACTCCCTTTTGCCTGTTGCTGTTTTTACAGTGGTAGGAAGATTGGAGCCAGCAGTGATTTACATGGTGTTAATTATGTTTCTTGTTTCTATGGACATGATAAGCAAAAAAAAAAAAAAAAAAGGACCTTTTCAGCATCATTTCCCACCTTCAGTCCCTGCTGAAGACCAGTGTTGGCACAAGGTTTGTTTGCTGGTTTTTTCTTCTTTATAACCATAAGTTTAGTTTTCTGGGGAGTTGCACAGTTCTTCCATGCTTCTTTCTTTCCAAATGCATGCCTTGTTCCACAGAGTATTCCAATATCCTTTTGATAAAAAACCCTTCATTTTGTGTGGGTGAACAAACAGTGATTGTGTGGAAACCCAAACTTGGTGTGAACATCTTTGAGTGAGGTGAACTCTTTGTAGAATGAGGCTTTTCTGGAATCTATAACACAATCAGAAGGCATTGGATTGTGTATGATAAAAAAGTGGAATTCTCTGCCTTTCACTTTCATTCAAGCTGAAAGTCTAGAAATACACGGAGTCACTGCCCAGTTAGTGAAGTGATTTGGTTGTCAGTATTTTCCAAACAGTACAAACAATGAGTGTTTCTGGTCAGTGTCTGTTCAAGAGGTAAAATCCACATCCTTTTGTGACCAGCAGCCTTCATCTCCCATCAGTAAAACCTTTTCAGAGTTGTGCACAGAGCTTTGATATTTGTAGTAAACCAGAATGTTAAAGGCACCTCAGAGTGGCACCGTCATGATCTGTGCTGACTTCAGTCACAGGAGTCACCTGTGCCTGTGCATATTCATCAGAAATCTGTTTTTTCATCATTATAGTTAGTGTAGTTTAGGATTTCTTTTCTGTGGATGTGGGACACCCTCTTGTGATCTTGAGAAGGTTTCCCAAAGCATGCTGAAGTTCTTAAAAAGACTGCAGCCTGTTTCCTGTAACAAGTTGTTCCGTAGAAAAATATAAAATAAACTTTTTCTTTTTTCTCCAGGATTTCTTCAGGGTAAGCCACAGTGCAGCCTTACTGGACAAATTTAATTTCTGGGATATCACCCTGCTTTTTTTCATTGTAGAATATTTAAGTAGATAACCAGGAAGTTAATGAAATTTACTGATGTAAAATAAGTGAGGATGGTCTTTGTATGAATAAAGCCTGAACCTTACAGATACTGAAACTGGGAGACTGCAGTTGGAGCAGTTCTGTAAAGACTAGGGAAGGCTCTTGCTCTTCTGCCAGTGTGGTCCTCACTCTGTCAAAGGGTAGATCCAGTCCCCTGAATCCATAATGTTTCAGAAACCTTATCAGCCAAGATCTCTGGCCTGGTCCTGTACACAGCTCATGTGCAAACCTTATTAAAAAGCACATAATGTGTTTGTTGCCAAGGAAACATAAGCCATTAAGCCCTAGGAACATAATTCATAAAAACCAAATTTTAGCTATTAACATCTCCTTTCTCCATTAGTGCCATGAACCCAACATGAAATAGCCTTGCAGTCTCCACCTAATGGGAATGACACAACTGGGAAATGAGAATGGGAAACAAGGGATTGCAGTTCACTGAGCTCTAAGTGTGCCACAGTAATGGGAATGCAGGACAGGCTTTGTTTTCTTCTCTTGTGTTGATCATCCACTGAGCACCTGTTTATCCTACTCGTGTTACTGTGAATCACAGTAAAGGCAAGCCTTTGCCAAGCAGAGAAAGATCAGGCCTACATTTTCCAAGAGGTCTGTTTGGAATATGAAAATAAAAATTAGGAGCGGGAAAAGGAAATGATGAAGTATTTTCCACTGGCTTCAGTTTTAATATCTTAGTAATTTTAAATTTCACTTCTCTGGATTTTCTGTTATGAATATTCCATTACAATTAGCTAACTCACAATGAGTTTAACACAAATTGTGGTTATAGATGGCATTTTGTATTTTTTTGTTTAGGTCAATCTCAATTTGCTCTTAAAATCTAGAAGCTCTTTTCTTCTTCTTCATCCTTCTCTTCTTTAGGAATTACACTGGATTCGTTACTTTTTGTCATACTAATATTGCAAAGCACCTGGAAACTTCTTGTGAAGAATCCACTGCAGCTACACAGATGCTTTTTGTCAAAATTTCACTGTGCTTGTATTCTCGGGAGTACTTCTAGCAAAAAAACAAAAAAAAGAGGAGGGAAGTGAAGGGGGCTCAATTTTTGGCAGGTCTAAACTGTTAGTTGACACTCCTGTGCTGTCCAGGGCCACAGACAGTCAGGTCAGGCTGACCTGAGTTATTGTTGGTACCTTGCAGTCACCTGTGTTCAGCTTTGGGATCAAGGAGTGAAAGGGAAGTCAGGGCCATTCCTGCCCTTTATTCTCTGTCCATTCCTGCCCTTTATTCTCTGTCCATTCCTGCCCTTTATTCTCATCCATTCCACTGATTTTGAACCATCCTCCCTGTGTTAAAGAGGACAATTAACACTGCTGTCTGAAAGAAGTGCTGAATTTGCTGCAGTGGGGTAAGGCTGGTGCACTCCTGGGACATGTAGCCTCGGGCTCCAAGTCATCTCTGACAGTTCAGTGTAATAAACCAGTTACAGTCACTTGGTGAAGTCCATTGCCAGCTTTGCTCAGACTTTATTTGGGCACCTCCCCTGCAGCTCCTGAGAGGTCTGTGTAGGAACCAAAGAGTGAGGAGCTCCCAGACTTTGCCCCCACAGCCCTGATGTGCTTTCAGCTCACGTGCAGTTTCTGTTCTGATTAGTGTGGCACTGAAGTACACTCTGCTTTCTCCAGGGTTTTATGGGACTTTGCCTGATAACAACCTCAAGGATTTGGCAGTGAGTGACTAGTAAAAAACGAGTATATGACACTATTGACTTTTTTAGTGGTGTAATCGTGAGAACGTGCGTCAAAACTCTTGATTTGTGAGCTGTGACAGCACACCCGAATGCAGAGATGGGCTTGTCAAACAGCCTGTGCACCAAGGGGGACTTTGAAGAAAAGGAAACATGTCAGAGATCTCCAGATAACATAATTTAGTTTGAAATGGGCCTCCAGAGACCATGAAGGGCAGGGCTGCCTTCAAAGTTAGATCAGATTGCTCCAATGAGATTTTGAAAACCTCAAAGAACAGAGATCTCTGTCTTTCTAGGCAACCTATTTCAGGGCTTAAGCACTTACACTGTATTTTGTCCCTTGTATATCCACTCACACTTTCTCCTGCCACAATCTGTGCCATTGCTTCTTGCCCTTGCACTGTTACTTCTGAGAACAGTGGCTCTCCTCCGTGTAACTGCCCTGTAGGTATTGAATGATGACAGTTGGTTTCTTCTCCCAAACCTTCTCTTCTTGAGGCTAAACACACCCAGTCCCTCAGCCTCTCCTCACATGCCACATGGTGCAGCACTTCACTGTGCTCTCTCTCTTACCAACATCCATTTGGTGATGAAAGGCTCCAGGTGGGACACAGTGTCCAAGGTGCTGCCTCACGAGGACGAGCAGAGTTCCCTGCCCTGGCTGCTGCCTGTGCTCTGCTGGTGCAGCCCTGGGTGCCCTCAGCCCTCACAGAGACACTGCCATTGCAGTACTTGTGCTGTTGGTGTACAAAAGGATGTCCTCAAATTATCTGTGTCCTGATATCCATGTCTTTTCCTCTGTAAAGTAAGAAATCAGGACAATTGTATAGTGTGGAAGTTTGTGGAGAAACTTATTCTTTGGTATAAGCTTTTTCCAGGTTCAATGTCAGGAAAACCACTGAGCTACCATGAGGAC